TCATGATGTGTACGTCCAAGGTGGTCGGGCAGGTACGAAAATGGGAAATATAATGCCATGGATCTTCGGCAAGTGAGAGACCTTTCACTCTTGAGAACCCATAGAGAGCATGGCGTAGTGCTCGTAGGCGAAGTATCGGAAAAGCTTGGTGTGACCTCGGCGGAGTGAAGCGGGAGGAGCTAGAGTAGCAAGGATGACAATCACATCGTCAACATTGTTGTAGATGGCTCGCTGGAAATGCACGTCTGCTGTGATCTGGTTGGGCCCGTCGTATAGCTGTAACTGAAAGATGTCCCCCAAGCTTGAAGTGTGCGTGCGGAAGCGGATGTTCTGTCATCCAAAACAGACAGGTCTCCTCGTTTGGAGGGATGCGAAGGGAATCGGTGTCGAAGATGTGGCCATCATAGGCAGGCGGCTCGAATTGACGCATAGTGTATTCAACGTGTTCGCTACCGCGAACCTGGACAGTGGTCACGGTTTCGCGTGTGTACTCGATGGCGAGTGGCAGGGAGTGAGGAACGTGATTCTCATCTTCCTGCACATAGGCAGGGTAAAGAGTGTTGACGACGTGGCGAGCAGCTGCGATGAGATATCCGAACATGGTGGTGCAGGTTGAACGAATAATTTTTCTGACTTTGTGCTTCCCTCAGCGCAGCTCTCACGCATGTCTTGTCTCATGGGAAATTCCAAAGCTGAAGTCAGGCACGTGCGCAACAACATGTTTCTGCACCTTTTGCAAAAAGGGTGCGGGACACCGCGACTGAGAAATCACAACGTTGCCATGCCCGTTGGGCACCATATGGTCAAACCTTGCGTGCTTAACTTTACTCCTCCGGGCACCTGATATCTGAGATATGATTATCTACGATATCTATGGCGTCTCGACTATAAAAGACTCTTCATTGCACGCCTGTATCTACATTCTATTTTGCTATACTACCAGATCCTGCTCTGTTGCCTGCAAGGTGCGTCGTGACACTGCCACTGCCCGCCTTGCCCCCTTACGCCTATCTTACACTTTTTTGAGCACCCTAAGAGGTTAGTACAATGCCTGTAGATACAGTAACCGACGCTACGCTACTGCGTACGTTGAGAAGCGGGACGATCCTACTGGACGTCCGAGTAGAGGGCAGACTGCCCAGAGATCGGCACCAGGCGCCAAAGAGTACCGTAGATACTACGGCAAATCAGAATGATCTGAATGATGACATCAGATCAGAGCCATGTGAGCAGTATTACCCAGACTTACGGGTCTGAGCCGGAAGAGCGGCAAGGAATGAAGGACCTTGCACGCACGCTGTGGGAAAGAGGCGGCAATATGCCGATCCAAATTAGTGACATCAATAATTTGATTAAGTTAACTGAAGATAAAGACAATGACACGTACCTGTACCTCATGCTCCCGAAGAGGCACATGAAACAAGGAAAGTAAAGGACACATCTGAGAAAAATCCCATGACTATACAGCACTACATAGTCCAATATAGCATCCATAGTTCCATAGCAATGTCAATTTGTATGGGTGCTATGGAGCTGCCTGCAGTTGCTATAGAGGTACCTGCCAGTGCTATAAAGTGCTATGGGTGTTATAGATCACACTGCCATGGCTATATAGCGGGAGGCGGGTGCGGGAGCCGGGAGTCGACACCGAGCCCGACCACGCTGGTCGGAGGCAAGCGCGGGGGACAGGATGTGACACCGAGGCCAACCACATTGGCAGCCCGGGCTTGGGGCTGGTCGAAGGCTGGCGCAGGGCGGGGGTGCCGACACCGGCAGAAGGCGACGAGGCCGGCGAGGATGCGGGCGAGAGGCCAGCGAGAAGGCGACGAGGCGGGCAAGAGGCCGGAGAGAGGCGGGGAGACTGGCGAGAAGGTGGCCAGGCGGGCAAGAAGGGGGGGAGATGGGCGAGATTCAGGGAGAGAGATGTGGGGAGGCGGGCGAGACGTGGGGAGGTGAGCAAGAAGGCGGGCAAGAGGCAGGTGAGAGGCTGGTTGGAGGCGGGCGCAGGGTGGGGGATGTGATGCCGAGCCCAACTGTGTTGGCGGCTCAGGCTCGGGGTTGGTCGAAGGCAGGCGGGGCAGGAGCCGATGCCAAGCCCAACCGCATTGGCTCGCGGCTCGGTGTTGGGAGCAGGCAGGGAGGAGGACGAGTGAGCACCAGCCCGACCACATTGGCAGCTCAGGCTGGGCGGCGGGTCGAAGGCGGGAGCGGACGGTGGGTCGAAGGGCAGGGGCAGGGTGGAATGCAGCACCGAACCTGACCACGTTGGCGGATCGGGCCCAGGGCTGGCAGAAGGCGGGCCCGGGGCTGGTGGAAGGGGGCAGGAGGTGAGGCCGAGCCTGACCGCGTTGGCGGCTCGGGCTCCGGGCTGGCAGAAGGCAGGCGCGGGGCGGGAGCCAGGGGGCAAGAGGTGATGCCGAGCCCGAGCCTGTTGGCGGCTTGGGCTTGGGGCTGGTCGACAGGTGAGGGCAGGGGCAGAAGCTGCACCGAGCCCGACCGCGTTGGCGGCTTGCACTCGGGGCTGTTCCCAAGGCGTAGGCTCGACGAGCTGGGCTGGGCTGGTTGAGGAGGCAGACACGAGGGGGGGGAGGCAGTGGGATCCCAGCTTGTCAAGGGCAAGGGTGCGGGGTGGACTTGTGTGGACGGGCCGCGTCAAACACCGGTCACGTGACCGTTGGTTGGTGTCAACGCGGCCGCGGCAACATTTGTCACGTGACTGTCGGTCCAAACCCGATTTTTGCTAAGTCCACATTGACCCTAAATAGTTGATGTATGTATATAAGCTTATATGATATTATGCACTCATACTTCACTGTACAGGCTGACTATTACCCCCAAACTAATGGATCATAACATAGTGTGAGTTGGAAAGTCTGCTATGGTTTCTATATAAGTATGTACCAAAACTATGGATGCTATATAGATATATATACAAAGCTATGGGTGCTATATTGACATCACTATGAGCTATGCATTGCTATATAGCTGGTGTATTAAGCTATAAATTGCTATGTAGCACCCCATAGCGGCCATCATAGTCTACATAGCACCCCATAGCAACTGTCATACTCTACATAGTGCTCTATAGCAGCTAGCTGATCACTCCATAGTGCACATAGAGCTACTATAGCAACAATAGTTCAAAGGGGCAGCTACATAAATTTGGGTTTTTTCAGATGCATTGGCGATCCGAGGTGGTTTGACATCGCGCCGACTGAAGGAATCGAGATGGCGCAAGGCCAAACACTGCCCGGAGAACCGCAGGGCGAGCCAAGCAACAGCAGGAAACGCGACAAACGGCGGATGACGCTTCAGGAACATCTGATGATCCCAGAGCATGAGGCTACGGGCCTGGGAGCCGAGACCAACCACGAGGTGTCCAAGGCTGAAGATGCCGAGGATGATCATCGCAATGTACCGCCACACATGCACAGGATCCCTAGCCGGGCTGGAACGGCCCCAGAAGCTGGCCGATATGCCGGCAATTGGCACATGTTATTGCGAGTCTCTTCTCCTAGGGCTCAGACTGTACCAGTTGAATTCATCAGGAGACGTAATGGACGAGACCCAGGAGGGAGCTCGGACAGCGACCCAGGTGACAATGGGGACCGGTGCACTCCTCGGGGAGAGCCGAATCGCAATAGGAGGGGGGAACTCCCAATAGACCCTCAGAGGAACCATGGGGCCACGCCAGGCGGAGACCCTGGATCAGGATCAGAGGACGACAGCCATGAGAACAGAAGTCTCCCCGGGCGTGACCCACCGGAGAGACTGAACATTCCCATCCGCGAAGGATCATACATCCCCATGCAAGAGGATCTCTCTGCAGTGACATTGAGAGAACTGTATCATAAGAAGATTCTCAGAATGTTTAAAAGATATGTAGATTCCTATAGAATCCCTTCAAAGAACATAAAGAATCAGAAGCCGGCTCAACCTAAGGAGTGGCAGGGGGATGATGATGCCGATCGCTTCCTTGATTGGTTAGATCTATTATTAGACTTTTTCATGCTTACTGGAATGACCAGAGGAGAACACGAGGACGAACCGGCTGCATTTACGACAGGATTCCTGTCGTCAAAGCCTAGGCATTGGGGGCAAACTAAAATAATAAGAGCCACAGCGCTTGCAGATCCTGTTCCCTTCAAAGAAGGGATTATTAAGTTATTTGATACACTGGGTCTGTGATTGGATTTTCAGTTCTAAAAGTGATTAAAAAATCTTATAAAATTTTAAAAACTTTATAACATTTTTCGCCCAAAAGATTCTGTCAAGATTGTAAACTGGCATAAGAACTTTTACCTCTCAAAAGTATGATCTAAATGTTGAAAAAATCCTGTGTCTCTTCTAAGATTTTTGTAAAAGATTCCTGCCTTAAAAATCTTGAACCAGTTTGTCAACCAAGCAACTATATTGAAAAACTATTGATCAATGTTTTGAAATTTCCATAAATAAATTAGCTGCACTAGTTGAATATAAGAACTTTCTACACACAAGTTTGTAAATTTCTACCTAAGAATCATAAATAAATATACAAACTTTCAAACTTTTAGAGTCAAAAGTGCAAATATAAATGATGTAAAAATTGTGATAAACTTATAAGATTTTTGTTTAAAACTTTTAGCTGTAAAAATGGATTAAAAATCATTAATCTGGTTCAAGATTTCCTCTGTATAAAATCATGAAAAGATTTAAAAGATTTATCGGATTTTCAGATCATTTTTTGGTCTAAAAATGCAGTCACAGACCCAGTGATAAATTTGTAGTTACCCTAACACCGGAAAAGGCTTGTAAAAATATTTAAATGTATCATTGGAGCCCAAAGATGGGGTGCAACAATTCTATGATGAATTAATGGACGCCACCGACCGTCTACTGCAACAGCCTACAGAGACCAACATCTCGGAGAGATTCCTTACTAGCCTACCTGAAGACTACATTGATCACTTAGTAGGACTAAAAGATGTCAGAGTTGGTGTCACTAGAATCAAATTAATGAGGGACTACGCAATACAGTATGAACTAGCACAGAAGTCCCTCAAGGTGATCTGAGACTTATGCGGAGGACTGCGCAGCAAAGCGCCGACGTCAAAGTATGAATCTAGAGATCAGATCAGGAAGTACCGCAGTGGAGATCGAGACCGCTACAGAACCATGCGATATGAGGGGCCGACTCGCACAAAGGAGCGCTCCAAGCTACCTCGAAAAGACGAAACTAAGAATTCTCGTAACATAGATACGGAAGATCGCGGAAATTGACAGCCAGAGGTCAAGGCAACTGGGGGTAGACCGTGGCCCAAGAGCGCTACTATTCTCAAGCCGAAGCTGAATCCGCGGTACCTGGACTTAGTATGCCGTCTATGTTCCAAAAAGGGACATATTGCGACGGACCATTACCCTGACTCAGCGCGAATGCACGTAATGGACATCGTAGATGATAGATCTGATGGAGAGGGCCCAGGCGCTTCAAAGGAAGCCACGGAGACTGAACCAGACTTGCCAGAACAGGAGTGTACAGACAACTCTGAAGAGTACTGGGAATCTTACGAAGCACATGCCTACAGCGAATACAGTAGTACTGACTCTGATAATGAGGAGAATGCTGTGTATATGGGGGCTCTACTCGCAGATGGCAAGGAGCGTGAGCTCACCAATTCACCAGAGCGTCAGGCGCTACCGTTCCCAAAAGGGAAGTGTCCGGTGCCACCACCTGAAGCTCGCAAAGCCATCAGATCGGCGTTACACAGGGAAGACAGTGCACACAGGCCGAAGTACCCAAGGGAATGGACAGAGCTGCTTTCCGCATACATCCAAATTAACAGTGTAAAGGCCTGGACGTTATTCGACCTCGGATCCAATATGGATGCCGTTAGTACCGAATTTGCACAAGTATGCAATCTTGATGTCTTTGAGCTTGAGAACCCCGTTACACTTAAGCTGGGCTGTAAAGGTAGCAAGTCTAAGATTACACACGGCGGTCATTGTAGGACCGCCCTAGGGACTATCAATACAAGGTGGTACTTCGACGTAGCCAACATAGCGCACTATGATGCCATTGTTGGCTTGCCGTTTTGTGCTAAGCACGGGATCACCATAATGCCCGACAAGCGGACCATCAGGCTTCCGGATGGTCTAGACATCCCCACAGAGCTTGAAGGAGGAAGGATTGGTGGGAATGACAAGTGGGCTCAGCCCAACCCTGCTAAGCCTCGCGCTTCCTTTCGGAAGTAAAATAACACATGAAGGACAGTGCCCACAGCACAAGGTAGTGGTCCGCTCCCACGCGCTAGATACGAAGCTACCCGATATAGGAGAGAATAATGTACCCACTGTAAGCTGACTCGCGAGTGGAAGTGTTGAATACGAAGAGATCAAGGACATCAAATTTGAGCGAGAATTTGAGATAGCTTACAAGCAGCACCGCGCCGCTGAGGATGCACAACGGAAGACTCTGTGAGGCAAGCAAATACCGTTCCCTGGACCGCCCAGAGAAGCGAGTACTCAAGAACCAAAAGAAGAGTCGCCATCACGCGCCCAAGAAGCAATACCGGACGACGTGATCCCACGTCTCCGGGAACACTGGGTTGAACACATTCAGGATATTACGGGGGACATTCCCCTTAGGAAACCTCCGTATAGAGAAGTTAATCATAGCATACCACTAATAGACCCTAATAAGAGATACAAGGGACACCATCTGCATTGCGCGGAGGCGTACCAACATCTATTACAGGACAAGATACAGAAAAACACGACTGCCAGATGGTGGGAATGGAAGCCTGTTGAGAACACATTGCCGATGCTGTGTATCCCCAAAAAGGATGGGAAATTACGCACTGTGTTCAACCTGCGTGAACGGAATGATAATACCGTTCATGACGTCACTCCGATGCCGGACCAAGACCATATTAGGAATGACGTTGCCAGAGCCTGATACAGATCTAAGCTAGATATGAGCGATGTGTATGAACAAGTCTGTATTGAGAAGGGCGACGAGCTGAAAACCGTGTTTTCGACAATTATGGGGACCATGATATCCCATGTGATGCAGCAAGGGGACTGTAACGCCCCGTCGACATTCCAGAGGCTTATGACACATATTTTTAGAGATTACATTGGAATATTTGTACATGTTTATCTAGATGACATTTTTATATACTCTAACACTATAGAGGAGCACAAGAGACATCTCGAATTAGTATTTGCCACCCTCCGCAAGGCGCAGCTGTATCTATCTAAGAAAAAGGTTGATCTATATTCAGACCGAATGGAGTGCCTAGGACACATCATAGACGCTCAAGGGATACACACGGAATCTGACAAACTGGAACAGATACGCGAGTGGAGAACACCACAAAGCTACACGGAAGTAGCCTGATTCCTCGGACTCATACAATACTTAGCTCAGTTTATGCCGAATGTGGCCACCTACATGGCCCCACTTTCAGCCATATGCAGTGAGGGGACACCATTCCATTGGCAACCCATACACGAAAAGTGCTTCCAGGCAATCAAGGACTTGGCGTGTTAAGCGCCCATTCTGAAGCCAGTCAACTTCGGCGATCCCGATCTGATCTGGGTCATATGTGACGGTTTGAAGACAGGAGTTGGTGCTTATTACGGACAGGGCCGAGACTTCCGAGTGTGCCGGCCGGCTGGATTTATGTCTAAGAAGTTCACAAATGCACAGCGAGGCTATGCTACGTACGAGCACAAGACACTCGCAATATTAGAAGCCCTCCTGAAGTGGGAGGACAAGCTTATGGGACAAAAAATTAATATAGTTACTGATCACAGGACTCTCAAGTTCTTCAAGTCGCAAAAAGATATGTCCTACCGCCAGCGGCGTTGGGCCGAGTACATTAGTAGATTTGATCACTCCATTACATATGTCAAAGGCAAGTACAACCTCGTCGCAGACACGCTATCCCGATACTACAAGTACGATAGACCTGGCGAGACGCACCCAGATTACTGGTATGTGAATATGGACGTGCACTTTGACCCGGCCGGGGATGAAGCAGTGGAGAGCCGGGACCTCAAGGCTGAGATGCTTGCGTCTGCAGGCTCGTCGGAGTTTGAAATGACACCGCCGGATGATGTGCCCACTGTGGGCACGTCAGCAGCTCAAGGGCTGATCAGTCCCCAGATGTTCAGCCAGTATGCTGAATATCTGGCCGCAGTAAAACAGAACTATGGTATGGACTCACTATTTTCCAAGGTCATTGCGGCCCCTAAGGAGCACCCGCAATTCGAGTTACGGGAAGGGACAGTATACACCTGTCACGGGTCAATCATCGCCGACCATTGCCTACTATCCCCAACTGTCCTCCGACGTCTCCTCCGCTCTTCGCCGCTCATTTTCCCACGGCCCTCCGACGGATCTCCAGTGGACTTTTTGTATCTTTGACTCCCATATGTTCCCTTTGTTCATCTTTGCTTATTCTCACACTGTATTCTCCTTCCTTGTGCTCGGTTTCCTTGGCACTGATTCCCTTTGTGTTCCACATGTACTTTAGATCTTCTTCCCTGTTCCCTTTGTCTTACTGATGATAGATTCATCTCCAACTTTTTCATTGTTCTGCTTAGTACTTATACCAGCTTATCTGTGCGATATTGCTCAGTTCCAATATCGACTAGGCTTTCCCCTTTCCTCCTAAGCGGACCTTGAGTGTGTAGCGACCCTTCGGGTCAAGTCCGCCTCTGCCCCGCTTTGCTCCGACTTTGCTCCGACGTCAGCATACCACTCTTCTCGATATTGTCTCTGAATCGCATCCATCCAACTCTGTGTTGTGGTCTGGGCAGTACGCCCTTGCTCGTTGGACTTAGGTCCACTCGTCCCAGACCCGTTCAGCTTCGGTATTGTTCATCTTCACTTTTCCCGTGCATTGGACCTCCGCATTTCCGATATTTTTGCCCTGCAGTTTCGTCCCTGACAACACCAAGAATCGCCTTGGAAACGAGGTGTTTTGCCCTCTGGAAAGCTCGGAGCGTGTGCACTGAGAGAGCTTGTGATTGATGGTGTGCACTGGGCGATCGGACACCTTGGCGCTAACAAAACCACGGAGTACTTGCGCTGCTACTATTGGTGGCCAAAGATCGCCACGGATGTCGACCTGTTTTACAAATCATGCCATCTCTGTCAGACGGCAAAGGATGTGAACCAGAAGCCTGAGGGATTGTTACACAGCCTATGGGTAATAATATGCAGACTAACAGGAATGGTACATCTTGTACCCTGCAATACTAAGACAACTGTGAGCGAACTCATATACTCGTTCCTCAAGGAGGTTGTGCGTTTGCATGGGGTTCCTGATAGCATCGTATCCGATCGAGATTCGAAGTTTAATTCTAAATTTTGGTGGGAACTTCACCGTCTGATGAGGACACGCCTGCTGATGTCCACAGCCTTCCATCCCCAAACAGACGGTGTGACAGAGCATGCAAATCGCACGGTATTGCAGATCCTGTGCAGCTTTGTCTGGCCCGACCAGACCGACTGGGCAGACATGCTTGCACTCACCGAGTTTGCAATGAATGCAGCACAATCTGAGACTACGGGATATAGCCCATTTGAGTTAAACTATGGGTATATCCCGAGGATGCTGGATGTACTGCCGATGGAACACTCAGCGCTGTGAGTACGGGAATTCATGTTGAATGCGAGGGATTGCTTGGAGCAGGCACATGACGCCATTATTGGCGCGCGTGTGCATCAGGCACACCACGCGAATCGGCAAAGATGAGACCATGTGAATCATACACCTGGCGATCTTGTATACGTCAGCACGATGAATCTAAGCCTCCCGCTCAAACGTGCGCGTAAACAGGCGCCCTGGTTTATTGGGCCGTTTAAAATAACTAAAGCATTCAACGAATCAAGTGTGTACAAGATAGAATTACCAAATGATTTAAGACAGCGGAGGGTACACCCGCAATTCCACATATCGAAGCTTCAGCCCCACGTGCCAAATGATGACATCAAGTTCCCGGGTCACGAAGCCACGAGCTTCTACAACTTTGGGCAACCCAATGAGCTTGAACGAGAGGTCGAGGAGATCGTCGCCCATGAATGGGACGAGAATGAAATACTATTTTTAGTACGTTGGACATTCGGCGATAGCTCCTGGGAACTATGGGTTAATGTAGAAAATTTGGCCGCAATAGGCAGATATTTTGAAGCTCAGGGGGTAACTACATATCAAGAATTACCTCGAAATCATACGCCGATTGTAGGGTTGCCTGCACCACCAGGTGCAATAGTCACGCTGCAGAGTATCACCCCTGTCCAGGGTGATGGAAAAAATTTCTGGTCAATAGGACCAGGCGGTATGAGGGTTCAATATCACCCACCCGCGCCTGCAGAAACCACTACAGCCATCGCATGAAACTAGAATTCTATCGAGTACTCCAGCTACGCTACAACGCACTACGCTATGCACTCGTACAATCAGTGTATCGCGCCATACCCGGTGCCGACAATCAGTCTTCCAAACATCGCCCGTAATGTCTCACGCTTGCAGCAGCGCGTCAAGCAGCTCGAGCGCGCCCTGGGCATTGGTGCACAGGTTGATGATAGAAGTGCCACCTATTCTGAGTTCGCTACGTCATATCAGTGGGTCCCCGACGCGGACGGCGTGCCTACCCCGCTTCCTTTGCTGATGGGAACTTCTCCAGGGAGGGGGGAAGGTTACAGCACCAACCCGTATGCCGCCAAGCTGTATGCCCCAGTGGGGTGGAAGCTACGTTGATTGTGACCGCATTGGCAGCTCGCAGACGGTAAGGGCAAGGGATGGATCGGCGTTGGGCAGGGGATAGAAACTGCACCGAGCGCGACTGCGTTGGCAGCTCGCATTTGGTGCTGGGCAGATGGCGGGCTCAGGGGTAGAAGCGGCACTGCACGAGACTGTGGGTGACAAGCATGTGGGGCTGGGTGGATGACGAGAACAGGGCAAGGTGGATTGTGTGCTCAGCAATGCCACAATTGAGTGCGTGCCCTACGTCTTCAAGAGTGGGCCCAGGGCCCAATTTTGAGCACCTACCCTGTGTCTTCAAGAGCATACTCTGGGCATCTTCGCAAGGGCTGGAATGTTCAAGTGCATATACACTTCTTGATGGGTGTATTCTCAATGGTGTTTGTTGGCGTGTTTGTGTATGCTGACGGGTGTGGTTGCAGTTGGACAGGTTTGATGGAAATCCCAGCCACTTTGATGGTCAAATGCCGGTTGGGGTCGGGTGTAAAGTGCAACGTCACACCTGAATTCGAGTATTAGCGCGTTGGTTTTACAAAGGCTAGAAGGGTCTCTTAAACATACCATAGCCCACAGTGTATCAAGCATATCTGAAACCTGCACAGCACTATGAGGACACATAGATTGTAGGGGGGTTGGCATGCCAGGTCATCTGGAGGCTCATCTTGCAATGGTGGGCACAACCGCTATAGACGCACACCCCATCTCCCTACCTATCCTCTCTGAGCAGACTCAGAGAGTGGCACAACTCTACCAAGACCTGTGCCCTTGGCCATGGTGAGAGTGAACCCATCGTCTAGCGTCTTCGCTGGCACTGTTAGCGGGAGATGAGTTGGATAAGGGGCTGTGCAACTTGACCACACGCGTTGTCGCTGCTGTGCAGTCAGCACTGGCACGGCCCACCTATTCTGGGGCTCATAGTAAGTACAAACTTCCTGAACCGGTTCAGATTGCGGTCTCAACCGGTTCTTGTACATCCTGAAATAACAGGCATTGTTGGTCCCAGTCCACGGTCCAGGACCGACCAAAACAGTTCAGGTCCAGGTTCAAACCAGTTCAAACCTGGACCGCCACCTACACTAGCCCTGATTGGGACACCGGGTTGAGGTGGGTTGGGTTGGGTTGGGTTGCCCTCGCCAAAAAGTGTGGGAGTCAAGGTGGTGCGGGTGTAGGAATCATGCCGGGCAATGCCCAGGAGCTTGGAGTCATGCCGTCGAGCAGCAGTTATCATAGATATCAAGGATAATAGACTGTAGCCTCTCTCTCCTGCTCCCAGTCATGGCTCCTAAGACTCAGTGGTCTGATAAGTCTACCTGGGCACTGCTTGACTCACTCAAGGCTTCAAAGACTGCTGGTCTTGCTTCAGATAATGGCTGGAAGCCTGGGGCATGGACTGTTGCTGCTGCTACTCTTGAAGACTCAGAGAAGACTGACTCTGAAGCTGTGAAGTCCTCTTCTGTTTGCTGGACTTGTTGGGGCACAGTATGTATCTGGTACTTAATCATCATTAGAGGGATGCTGACCAGTTGCTGCAGCTTAAGAAGGAGTACGAAGAGGACCACATACTCAGGGATCTGTCTGGCTTTGAGTGGGATGATGATCGCTTGGTCGTTGTCGCTACCAACAAAGTCTGGGAGGCATATCTAGTTGTAAGCATCCATTTTCACTGTTTATATCTTTGCAATCATGTTTGCTTATATTCGATCAACTCAGAAACATCCAAGCTTGAGCAAATGGAAGAAGAAAGCCTTCTCCTACTTTGATGAAGTTGCGGAGCTTGCACTGCGGACAGTGTTGGCCCTATCTTTACCCTGATAGTGTCACTCTTTGTGCTCTGACAGTGGGAGGGCAGTCACCGACTGCAAGTGCACGCTTGCAGGCCACCGTGCGCAGTCACCAACGGCCCTCTTGTGCATGCACGTTGTGGCACTGCCACCCATCCCTCTTCCCAATCTGGAAGGTGGCTCCTACTGCTGGCCAATGCTACACACAATTGGTAAAGTGTTTCCCACTGCTAGACCAATGCTAACATCATATGCACTCCCTCATAACCCTAAGGACTCTGGTCTGGCCATGTCAGTTATTGATCGGGGCCCTAAGGCGGTACTGATCGATGTAAAGTTCCCTCATGCCGGTCCCACAGCCTCCTCTATTTGCACCCAGTTTGCAACCTGGCTTGACTCCTCCTTCCTGATGGGATGTTGTCCCAATCCCAATACGGCCAAGTTGTACGGTCACTATTGCTATGAGCTGATATCCGTCCTTGTGATCAATGAGGTCCGTGTTGTCTAAGGGCGTCTAGCAGCTGGACAACACTCGAGAACGAGCTGGAGAGCACAGACAGTGAGCAGAATGAAGTAAATACATGGAGAGGGCTATCCTACCTGGAGAGCACAGACAGTGAGCAGAATGAAGTGCCCAAGTCGTCTGTGGCTCTCCAGTAAAACTGTCAGCACAGCCTACAAGCTAAAGCGGCCACAGCCACGCGAAATAAGCGCCAGAAGCGCCAGAGAGCTGGCAAGTCACCACAGACAACAGTCCGGTAGACATGCGTAGAGCTTTGTGTATGGGCAAACGAGGCACGTTAGATGTGTGAAGCTCTATATCTGCGCAAACATTGTATCCCCCCAATTAAGTAATGCTTTGGATGGAAAAGAAAAAGTCGACAATGCTCTAACCAGCACAGCTGTAATTACATCGAGCACCGGAAACACGGAGAGATTCTACTCCTGCAATCCAGCTTATACTTTGTGAGAAGCACCTCAGGGCATAGATGCAAAAACCCAAGTCTCCACGCAAGATTTTGAGGCATGAGAATGCACCTTCTGTTGATCCTCCAGGGCTGCCTTACCTGTTGTCTGTGGTGAATTGCCAGCTCTCTGGCGCTTATTTCGCGTGGCTGTGGCCGCTTTAGCTCGTAGGCTGTGCTGACAGTTTTACTGGAGAGCCACAGACGACTTGGGCACTTCATTCTGCTCACTGTCTGTGCTCTCCAGGTAGGATAGCCCTCTCAGCCGGTGGTGGAGGGTCAGGAATCGCGACTAGTGGAGTGGACCAGGGTGCTACACGTCCCAGAGCTTCGCTCTAACCTCCTATCAGTCCTGTATCTCACTCAGCACAAATCCATTCACGTTGGTGCAAATGGAGATCCCGGGACCGTCTACAAGCACGGTGAAATTCTTCCTGCAATACCAAGCTGTAGAGGAAGTTTCTGAGTTTCATGCTCAGATAACGAGACCCTACCATTTTGTGAGTGAATCCTATCTCAAAGTAATAGTAGCTTTACTGAACAAGTGCTGCGTCTACAGATCTATGTCGATAACTCAGATGACCTGAACTCATTAAAGTCTGCAGAGAGGGTAGACCCTCTGACCGTTGGGAAATGGCTTCATGTGGCTTCCTGCAGGCACTCTGGAGGGCGTCACGCAAGGCGTTCGTGGGGTGTCTTCCTCCCTTATCACTCCCCCTTTGTCGCCAACGTCGGGGAGTCCTTCCCTGTCTCAGAGCTCCTCTTTATCATTCGCTACCTGTCAGGCAATCCTAACCTCTCCCAAGGGGAGGTCCATTCCCTTCACAAAGGGACAGGAAGTTCGTCTGTCCTCTCACGTGTCTCGATTATTGGCAACCCCCTCGAACTGTTTGTGGTGGACATTCTCATCACAACCTGGACCGTCTGAATGATGGCCCGCCTCTCAGGTAGCATCTTCTGCTCATGTCAGGTAACA